GGAAAAGAAGCACTGAAAAAGAACTACTTCCAGGCCGTCCAGTTACTGCCGACTAAAAAGAGGGGACGTGTTGGTAATTAATGGCCAACTTGAATCGAAGGGCAGCGGCAAGTTGTTTAATTAAGCACTTACTTTGAAATAATCTGACGTTTGTTCTCGTATCGCAAATCGAACTGAGTCATCCGCATTCAAAAACTAATAATACCAAAACCGTCCACTATTTTAGTGGTATTCAGTGGGGGGTCGAGCGGACCATGAGCTACATGTCCCCGTTGGTACCCGCAATCTGCTCGATGTATTTGCACCATTTCTGCAGAGGCAGGCAGGGTGTGGTACCTTTCTTTCTTGAGAGTATCACTCACTAATAAGCGACGTTTACCGATTGTTGGCAACGAGAGCAACTTGCCCTGCCCGCCTGTCCTAACTTTCTCGCATGGTAGCTGTGATATCCTGCACACTGCTTATTTGATATGAGGACTGATTCGGTAACACACTCAGAGTTCAAAAGACGTTCAGAGGTACTTCAGGCACTTCACATCCTGAAGTAATCTGATGTTTGTTTTCTTACTATGAATTGGATCGGATCTTTCAGATTCAAAAATATTGTCCATTTTCATTGTTTTGTTTCGAAGCAAACCCGCAGATCACTCCAGCTAGACGGAGATGCAAATGGCTGGATGCATAAATTGACAAACACGACCTGCACGCCCAAACATAACTACACTGACTGGAGGAGAGAGACCAAATGAGGTCGTTCAGTAAGGATTATGGACAAGGATCGAGCCAGCCCTTGGTGATCGCTATCGTCCATAATTATACAGACTGTAGAGTGCTTTCACTGGACATTGTACAATTATTGGTGCGTAAGGTGAGAAGATGATGGTCGCATTATTTCCGTGACCTTGTTCAGCGTTCAACAGATGAATTTTGTGCATGGCCTAAACTCCTTCAAGCGAAGCCGATCTGCTGTGAAACTTCACATCTTTGCGTTCCTATTAGTAGTGACGCGTGCTTAGTGTGTCCCGTCAAATGAGTAGCGCTCTGACGGAGAGAAATGGAATGACGGATATCCTGCATGTGTTGCTGCTCATAGGTGGTGTGCAAATTTTCCAGTTACTGCGTGTCCGAGGTCCTACGAAGACCAGGCAGCACGGGCAGGTGTATTTTCTTAAATGAATCAGTTCCATTATCTTCGCGGAATAACTGCAGCAGCAAAATC